AGAGAGAAAGGTGTTTCTTAAACCCATGAAATACTGAACACTCTCAGTGAATTTCATAGTGGGTATCAATATCTATTTCTTCATCAGACTATGCATCTCTAAAGTGGTGTGGCTAAGTAGCTACACTATTGGGAAATACAACAGTGGTCTGAGTTTGGTTCATTGTGCAGCAACTCTTTTGTTGAACAACTACAGGTACTATAAAATAAGAGTAGGTGCTGTTTTTTAAACTTTATTTTATTTGAGGTTCCTTAAGCCCCTACCTCCCTTCCAACCCTCAACTTTACGAGAGAAAAAAGATTAGAAGGGAAAAGGGATGTAGACCTCTTTAGACTTAGTTCTGTCTGGTTAGCGTCATGGGTTCTTTGGGAAGATACCAATCTCAGCAAAGGGCAAATGCAGAGGATGAACAAGCAGCCTTCTTTCTCCTCTGTCTGTCTCCTTAAAGCCCTCATTCATTCTCTCCCCTACCCCCCACAGCTCTCATATTTATACCTTCTCAGAGTCCTCAGAATTCGACTATCTGCAGCTGGCAAAGACCAAGCCCAGCATGAGACAATTATCACCTGTGGATAAACTAAGGCAGTCCCATATCCCATACTTGGGATTAAAACAGAAACATATATAACATAACTGAGTTTTTAAAGAAACCAAAACTTCCACCACAGTAAGATCTGTATTGAATGACTCTTATAATAAAGAACTGAAAAACATTTAATGATTTCAAATTAAAAAAAAAAAAAAAAAGCCCAAAGACTCCTGAAGCATGTGCCATTGAAGCAGATCACTTGGGTACCTGAGGTTCTGGTACTGAATAACCAGCTTGGTGACCCATTTCCTCCTCTGAGTAACACTTCTTGAAACAAATTTTCTCTTCAGTAGGTATTTTTTCATAGACTTCTCATGATACATGTCAAAACCTTTTTTCCCCAATGTGTAGGCTAGAGCCAAGTTTTATTTCAAGCTGAATTAAGTTATGATATTACCTGCCAGGTTGGTGGTAGGTTTCAATAGATACACAGATATTAGGGCTTGGTAGGACACAGATATTAGGGCTGTGGAAGTCTCCCAGCGGACCTAATGAAACAGTCAGAGAAGAGTAGTTGCAACAGGAAGTTCAAGCATCTTGCCTTTATTAGCATCAGTTAGTATGAAATGCTCTACTGGTGTTCTATCGTGTTCCCAGGCATGAGCCTGGCTTCTGCTAAGGTCAACAGCGCTAATACTACTGACAGTGTTAGTGTGTGGTTGTGCTATAGGGTTTAGGTACTAAGATTTTACTGGCATTACTTCACTTAATTGTCAGACAGACACACACACACCCTCGCATGCACAAACAAGGGAAAGATAGAATTTGGCAATTTACCTCTGTCTTTGTTTAACATCCTGCCATTTCCAGTGCGGGGCAAAGACGAGAGCTGTGCACGCTCACTTGGCACAGTGCTGCCCACAGGACCAGCTGTGGCACCTCAGAAACAGCAACTACCTAAGAACGATTTCTGGGAAAGCGAAGTTTTCATGACTTCCCTGGATCCTCTGCAGTTGGGAGCAAGGGCTGTAGACATTGTGTTCTTTCCTTCTTGCGAGCTGTTCTTATTCACAGTTGCTCAGCCTGCTGTCAGGCTTCTCTGGGTTTTCAGTGAAGAGCTGTGCCACTGTGGCCAACCTGGTAAATCCTCCTCTCCCGGCACAGGCCCAAGATGGAACAAAGAGGAGAACAAACAGTTCTCTGCAGCAGTTCAAGTGTGAGGATGCTACTCTCTCAGCCTCTGTGCCTTCCAGAAGCTTTGTTTTCTCTGCTGCAATCAGAGAGGCCCAAGTACCATAAAAAGAAGTTACCAGGCTACAGAGGAGGACAATGCAGCTGGTCCTAATGAGACCTGATAGGCTAGGGTTGAATGGAAGGGGAGGAGGACCTCCCCTATCATTGGACTTGGAGAGGGGCTTTGGAGGAGAAGAGGGAGGAGACGAGGGAGGGGGCTACAGCTGGGATACAAAGTGAATATGCTGTAATTAATAAAGATAAATGAATTTAAAAAAGAAGTTAGAAAACTTCGCTGTTCTAAAGAAATTGTAGTTTTTAATGTTATGTTTCCACCTTTAAATGCCAAGGGAGGATTTCTGAATGTTCTCTCTTCTATGACTTCTCTTTAACAATTTGTGTTTAACAGCCCAACACGGGTACATTGTTACTTTGTTATTTCAAGGTTTGAATGTAAGAACATTTTCAGTTGAACACTGAGACATAGCAAGCATTCCATACCATGATCAGTTCTTAGCATGACGGTGTGTTCATCAGGAAGATATGCATCAAGTACTGTTTCATTGGACTAAAGACTTCATATACAGAGTAACTCTGTATGAAACCTTCCTTAAAAGCAGACATATACAGTGGAGTTTTATTCAGCCACAAAGAGCAAAAGTATGTCACGTGCAGGAAAATTGACAGAAATGGAGATTATCATACTGAGAAAAATAAGCCAGACGTCCCAGCCAAGATGAATGTAATATTTTCTCTTATATAGGGAACCTACAGTGTAAACACACACACAGGCATGCACATGTGTGCGCACACACACACACACACACACACATACATAAGCAGAAGGGTATGAATTGGGAATTAATTGGAAAGAGGAGATGTACTCATAGGAGGGGTAAGAGAGGGCAATGAGGAGCGATTGTGGTCAGAGTACGTCATGTACTGAAGAAAAACCACTTTATGGACAGGAGCACTGTACAGGGAGTGTACGCTAAGCTTTATTAGCAGTGTTTGCGAGGGGGCAGTCTCGCTAGGCAGCGCCGGCTGGCCTGGAATTCACCGTACAGACCAGCCTGCCCGTGAATAGAGATCACTCCGCCTCTGCCTCCCGAGCGCCTGGATTTATGATCTGCATTTGCACAGGCATTTACTGCTCCCCGTGGCTCTCCTTACGCACCAGCGGAAAGCCTGTGCCTTTGTTGTGGGCCATTTTCCTTTTGGACAACTGTTCTCTACTCCATGCATATGTGCGGATTGGCCTGATGATTCCAGGGGTCTCGCTGACTGTGTAGCCTCAAGAAACTTTACATCATATTTCTAAAGTTGTTCCCCCCTTTTCCATGCAAGATACACTGGCAAAAAAACTTGGCGTTGGCTCTAGAGTGAAATAAAATCTAAACTCTGGTCCCATTCCTGGTCTCCCTGAGGTCTGAGAAAGCAGTCTTCACTCTCTAAAGCTAGCCTCCCAGCACCTAATTCTTAGAGCTCTTGTCCATGTCAAGGGCACAACAAGCCTTAGGATGGTATTCACTGCTTCTGCCTGGCACCAAATTCTGGCAGTTATTTTCATTTTCAGATATGACAAAAATCATAATTTTTGTGGCAAGTCACTATTTAACGTTAGATTTTTAAAATAAAAATCATTTTAGAAAAGTCTCATAAACTTAACTCTTTAAGTATGAGGTAGATATAAAAGCCAGGACCTGCCCATTCTGCACCAGCCTCTCAGTGTACATGCTGTGGCTTCCAGTTTAGTGTTTTCATGGGATTCCTGAGTGTGCGAACAAGTGAGTCTGATTCTTGTGCCCTCTCTTGGTCTCTTTTCCTTCTGTTGGTTAATCCTGTTGAACTTCAATGTCATAGTTTTTGTTTCATATTATTATATTTTGTTTTGTTATCTTTAAAAAAATGAATGAATGAAATGAAAACCTAGCCACTAGGGTAAAGGTTAACAACTGAACTGTCATTCACACCTGCTGGGAGAGGGAAGGCCAGTTTCCTTCAGTCGAGTGACACTGGGTACGTCACCCACTTCAGGGCAAGCTTCAAGGTCAGGAGGAGTTGACCAATATATAATGGTCTCCAGAGGTTTGTGTGTGTGTTCTTTTATTCGGTTACAGCTTGATGGAGGTTTTGTTTGCTTGTATTTGTTTGTTTGTTTATGTTGTTGTCTCTGGGTGGTATTTCATTTTGTTTTCTTGGTTTTGAAGGGTTTTGTTGTTGTGTTGGGTTTGTGTTTGTTGGTTCTTTTTTTTGAGAAAGAAATTAAAGTTTAATGGGTAGGGAGTGTGGAGAGGAACTGGAAGGACTTAGGGAAGGAGGAGAATATGATCAAAATATATTTAAATTTAGGAGTTGTCAACAGGGGATCAAAGCAGATGCTGAGACTTACAGTCAAGCTTTGGGTAGAGCACAGGGAGTCTTATGGAAGAAGTAGGAGGATAGAAGGTCACAGAGGGGACAGGAGCCCCACAAGGAGACCAACAAAGCTAAAATATCTGACCCCATGGAGTCCTGCAGAAACCGATGCACCAGCCAAGGACCATGCATGGAGAGGACCTAGACCCCCTGCTCAGATGTAGTCCATGGGCAGCTCAGTCTCTGTGTGAGTCTTGGAGTAAGGAGGCGGGGGCCTGCCTATGTCATGAACTCAGTTGACTGCTTTTGATTATTTCCCCCTGGTGATGCATTCTTGCCAGGCCACAGAGGAAGAGGATCCTGGAAGCCCTGATGAGACTTGATAAGCTATGGGCAGATGGCAGAGGAGAACTCCTCCTTTCAGTGGACTAGGGGAAGGGGATAGGGAGAAAGAAGGAGGGGGGTGGGACTGGGAGGAGTTGAGGGAGGGGGCTATATATTCTATCGGGATATAGAATGAATAAATTGTAAAAAGGAAAAAAAAAAGAAATAGAGAACACAGAGATGCAGAGAAGAAAAACAAGCAAAAAAGAGAATAAATTTGCTTTAGAAATATTTCAAAGGAACTGAGACTGAATGGTACTGAATGGCTTCTCACTGTATCCCCAAAACATAGGAGCCTCTCCTTGGGTGTCAAGAACTCTGGGTGTTTAGATTCCAGTAAGGGGCCAATTTCACAAAGATGCCTTAAGGACACCATCGTGCCAGCAGTGGGAAGTGTTAGTGCTTCTGGGGAAACAGGGTTATCTGTGTCCTCTGTCTTCTTCAGGGCCCCATTGCTTCTGCCGATAACTAAAACATTGTGTCTTTTGCTTTGCAGTCACTCAGGACTGTCTGCAGCTGATTGCAGACAGTGACACGCCGACTATTCGGAAAGGTAATGACCAGCCCTGCTCTGTGTCCACTTGAGCCTCAGTCTGGTGTGGCTTATGCTGTAAGTTTCAGGTCTCAGGCGGAGTCTGAACTGCAGCACCCAGAAGCTGCCGTCCAGACTCCTTATCACACTCACACGGACCTTTTCTACATGACGGGGACACAGTTAAAACATGGGCTCGGGGACACAAATATTGGATCTTAAATAAGCAGAACAAACTGAGTTTTGATTTTTTTTTTTTTCGGGGAAGTGCTGGCTTCTGATGGGACAGACAGCTATCCGCATGCATCTGCCCGTGATCCTTGGCTGCAGAACTCTAATGGGATGGAAACAAGGCTGCCATGTCCTAGAGGTGTAATTGACCAGTTTTTAATGTCCTGTGGGTACTTATGATGGATTACTCAGCCTTTAGAGTGGAACGCTTTCAAGCTGATTTCTGCTGTCTTGAAGATCTGCTAGTTTTAACTTCAGAAAGAGAAAAGTATTTTCTCTAATATGAGCCAGACACAAGAATACACTTTTCACCCCGTTTCCCAAATAACGCCACCCACAATTTTGAGCCAGGGGAAGGTCGGTGACACAGGGCTCTGTTGATAAGCCTCTGGGAAGCAGCTAGCTGCTCCTTCCAGTATGTTGGAGAACTCATGCAGCTCTTCACCGCACTGCTAAATCCAATGCCCTACTCCAGAAAAACCTTTTCTCTCCCTATTTAATCCAGTTTTTTCTGGATTCGAGTTGCCACGCTACTCTCATAAACAGCAGCACACTGAAAAGTAAATATTTGGTGATTCATTGCAGTTTTGACAATACAAAAATGTTCTAGAAAGGAATGATCCCTCCAGGCTGCATAGTTGATCTTCAGTTAACTTTCACTAGAGCACAAAGAAATGAGGTTCACGGCAACTTTTTCATACATGTGTCTCCTGCTGCCCTCCTTATCCTGCCTAAATATCTGCCTCCTCCCTTCAGCTTTCTTACCACAGGTGTCCCTGCACGTTTTCTCTCACTTCCTATAGACCTCCTCCTTATTCATAGTCTGGTACATTCTACATGCATGCACATACACATACATGTGAACAGGCATGTACACACCCATGCACACGTGCCTGTACACACATGCTTCCTACACACATGTACACACACACACACACACACACACACACACACACACACACATCAGAATCATACTGTATTTCTCTTCCTGGGTCTGTGTTTCACGCAAGACAGGGACCTCCAGTTCCATCCACGAATAATTTCATTCGTCTTACATCTGGATAAGACCCCACTATGTACATGTACCACACTGTCTACTCATTTGTTGATTTATTATTCATCTTACACGCACTAATTAAGAATATACAGTGGCTGAGTGACTGAGATGTTAGTGTCTGTATTGAAGAAAATGTATGTGGGTTTTACTTTGATGGAGTTTGACCACTAGTGGGGAGAAAAGAGAAAAGAAGCAACCCCATAAGTTAGCAAGTAAAGACCATAAAAGGGCAGCTGGGAAGTAAGGGAAATAGAGGCAGCTAGTGCACGAGGATTTCTGAGTCTTTCACCGCAGCTGGAGTTTGAGACCACACGTGATGAGCAGGAATGGGGAAACAGGTTAGGACAGATAATGAGTACAGGTTGACCTTTGCAGTTGAGTCTTTGCATTTATACGTTTGTACATTATTTTAATGGTGTTAAATGATAAACAAATTCCAGATGATCTGAAAAGCTATGATTGTTTATAGCTTAGCTTTTTGTTTCCAAAAACGATGTTTGCAATACTCAGAAATCATCAACTGATTTTCTAAGAAGAGAACTCAAGCCAGAAGAACAGCTGAAGAACTGAAGATAACATTTAAAACAAAGCTTAGTAAAGATTTGCTCTACACATTTGTCAAAAGGGGGAAAAAAATCAGCCTCAATCCACATAAAACACTGCATCCTCTTTGCTTTTGTGCCATGGGTGCAGGTGTGTGGGCCTGGGCTGCTGCCAGAACTCCATGGCCTTTTGCCTACATAGGCTGGTTTTGTATAGCCAGCCGAGCACTGGAACATACACATGAGAACTGTGCCATGCAATGGTTCTATAGTGAGGAGTCTGGTAGGCTTACAGGAGAGAGAGACTTACATGTGAAGGGAGTTTGCATGCCGTGAACCACTGCCCTTTGCAATGGGCAGCAAGTCTTTCCCAAACAGATAACATTTTTTTTTTTTTATCTTACTACTTAGTATATCATCTGGAGTCTTAGGTGAAGTCTCTTAAGTTCTCAAGAGCACAAACAAAGAGAAGGATGATTTGCATTCTTATTCCAAGTATGAGTGATGATGGACCAGGAACACAGATGCAGGTTGCCCTGGGAAATGTTCCAGTGTCAAAAGCTCTATGACATTTTTATAGCTACAGAACAAAAGAAAGTCATTAGTCAAAGCATTTTTTTTTTTAAATGCATTGGTACAAGTATCAGGCACAGAGTGGGAGAATTACCCGTTGACATTCTTAACTTTTGGGTTGCCTGTGAGCACAGTCTAGAGGTTTTGCCTGACAACCGCAAGGATGTACTTTAAATGCAGAAGGGGCCAATGAAAGGACAGAAGCGCCAACCCAAGCGTGCTTACATATTGATGCTGCTTTCCTCTCCAGAGCAAATAGCCTCATGGTGCTGATTCACACTCCCCTTTTGGGTTCTGACCTTAAGCATCACTCCAAATTTCACTGAATTTTGGGGTGACTTCTTTGGGAAAATGTCTATTCAAATCCTTGACTACTTTATACTTCCTAACTGAATTATTTTTCTTTTTGCTGTTGAGATATGAAACTGTATTATAGATGACAAACCCTTACGAAAATGCTTGTTGTGCAAATATTTCCCTTACTTTGAGGATAATCTGCAGTTTGTTGAGACAGTGACTGCTCACAAAGTTCCAGCCAGCTCCTCAATGCTGGGTTACAGCCATTGTGTTACCAAGCTGGTCAGCAGTATTTGGTTTGATGAAGTCAAATTTCTTTATTGATTCTCCTTTCTTTCTCATGCTTTGGGTACTGTTGCTGATGTGCCAACAAACTCAGCAGCACAACTGACACCTTTGCTTTCTCTTAATGATCATGTTTTTATTTTGAGGACACTTGTATCTGCACTTATGCCATTGGAGCATTTTCGTCAATTTTATGTCCGGTGTGGACCTTGGCACAACGTCACCCATAATGTGTAGAATATTTAGTTTTTCTAGCATCATTGGTTGGAGAGGATTGCATGGGACTGGCACATTTGTAAAGATCCAGTTGGGTCTAGAGGCATGACTTTATTTCTGTATTCAATATTCTGCTGGTTTATTGGGTCTACATTTGCAACAAAACACAACAGTATTTTGACCATTATAGTTCGGTAAAATTTTAAAGTTGGGAGAATTAACTATTCAACATTGTGTGTCATTTTAAAGACTGTTTTGGAACCTCAAGTACCCTTGTCAACAATCAATGATTCTTTTCTATTTAGAAAAAAAGAACCACTGCATTTGTATAGTAACCCTAGACTCTTCAGAGAGATCAAGTAATGTTGCTATCTTAATAACATTAAGGTTATCTGTCCATGAGCATGAGGTGTCTTCCCACTTATTTATGTCTCATGTGTTAATTTTAGCACATTTTATAACTTTTATCATATGCATCTTTTAACAGATTGAGTAAATTTATTTCTAGGCATTTTATTCATTTGAATTCAGTCTCAGTTTAGGTAGCTATAATAAATTGCCATAGAATGGATTGTTTAAACAACAAACTGTTTTCTTACAAAACTAGGGGCTTGAAAAATCCAATGCAAGTTTCCAGGAGGTCTATTAAACATACACTTGTATTTTGGGGTGGTTGTACTTTCATTGTAACCTTGCACAATGGATAAGATAGCTGAGAGTACCTCACCTCTCTTCTTTAAAGGACACCAGTACCAAGCCAGGTGGTGGTGGTGGCGCCTTTATTACCAGCACTAGGGAGCAGGCACATCTTTTTGATCTTGAGGTCAGTCTGGTCTACAGAGTGAGTTCCCGGACACCCAGGGCTACACTGAGAAACCCCGACTCTAAAAAACAAGATAGATAGATAGATAGATAGATAGATAGATAGATAGATAGATAGATAGATAGA